TTTTTTTGTTTTTTTTTGTGGTCTACCTGTAAACTAGCTTTTTGCTAAGGCTTACATCAAACGTCAAACTTCACATGAGCCAAATCTAATCGAAGCAATGGATAAAAAGGCGGTCTTCTTTAACGTCATTAGGTTTGGCTCATATGAAGTTTGACGTTTGACACGAGGCTAAGTGTATGTTTACACGTTAAATAAAGTATTGTCGTCGTATCATCTTCTCTGTATCTTGTTTCCAGGCACATCATCGTAGCTGGAAAAGCAGAAGTGTTCGGCAACTGGGAATGTGACTGGCGTTGTAGCTTTGAAGAACTGACAGATGAACCCACGACTGACAAGAACAAGCTGGTCCTGACTGTACCGGTAAGTATACTATATAACTATCAGGCAGTAGGTAACTTCAAAAGGTTCCATTATTTCCAGTTTTGTGTAAATTCTTTAGGGGAAAAAACAGGGTTCATATTAGTCTACTTGAACTTTACCTGGAATTTTTAAAGTAAAATTTCAATTCTTTTTTTATGTTATTAATCTCAAAATCCTTACATATCAAAATTTCAAAGTCATTTGAAAAAGTCTCGATATCGCTCGTTGAACATTACTTGAAAATGGCCATCGTTTGTAACGTAATAATCAACTGAACAAACCACTAGCATATGAAACTCCTTTTCGTGAATCCTTGGAATTCATCTGAGACGTACCTGAGGTCTAGAAGATACTTCATTCAGTTGAAATGTTGGTTAATGTCCATTCAATGTGTGTTCATCGTTGTAGCACTACTGTTTAGCCCTAACTGAAAGGTTGAGCTAGTATGTATAGCTTCTATTTAAGGAATGGATCATAAGTAGCGTGCGTCCATCGAGTTATGGATGCACGCGGGAGGTTGCTAAGCACGAAGAAAAGCGTAAGAGTTGCACGAAGCGAAGCGGGGGGGAAATTTTCGCCGAAGCAGAAAAAGCTGACGTGAGCGTGCAACCCATGGGCAAATGGTTCATGCTTTTCAACCAATCAGATCGCGCGGATTTACTTGACTATATTATGATATATATTTTCAAGTGATATCATGGCAATTGGGATTATTATTAAATGTTGTCCACAGAGGGAGGGCTAGTGGATGGATTCCAAGGTGATAAAATAACAATAACAATATTTTTTGTACCTAGAATTACAACTACGTTAAATATTTACAAAATATGATGATTTATATAAAAGAATAAAGGTACTGGCCCTAACAACTAATAACGTAAAAGCTAAAAATCAGTTAGGACCAAAGCATTATAACTTTATTTCAAGAATGGAACACAACAACCATTTACACTGTGTTTTCTAACTTACAGCCCTTTATTTCCATGGTATTATTACATGAAGACGCTCTCTTTAGCTTAAATTATAACTGGTAATTGGAAGTTAAATTAATTCTCATTGAATGCAATGAAAACGGGTATCACTTCAGAGATTCTGGCAGCATTTTTCAAATCCTGTGTTAGGGCCAAAATCGCATTTATTTTTTGGTCCTATGTTGCATAACTATATACCGTTTTGTTGGTTAACGCAATCCTAAAATTTGCATATTTTGAAGAAATAGAGAGAAGTGTTAGGAGAAGCACGACGAGTGTTCTGCCAACCCCCAAGTGCTTTATGACTGCACACAGCAAAGCAAGCAAGTTTTTTATTTCTTTTATAAAATACAAATTACAATAATAGATAGGAATGACGCAACGGAAAGTGCGCGCGCGTGCAATGTGCTCTCATAAAGCACGCGCTCCAAACCAATCAGAACGCGACATTCATGACAGTTATTTTATAAAAAATGTTATAGCTTTTTAAAGCTAAAACAATAGAATCCCTAAGAAAGCATTGGAACCTCGTTGAGGCGTGGTTTTGATAAACTGCTAAATAGTTAAACAAAAACACCAAGTTAAATCTTATGATAATGGCATATGACTAAAGATTMATATACGGAACTTTCATGTGTGACGTCATTCGTCTGCAAAACGACTTCCGGGTCCAAATGAAAAGAAGCTTTTTTTAAAATTTCTTCGTCACAAAATGATTCGATGCGCAAAACAAACAAATACATAACCGATCAAAGTTTTTAAGTTTTGCCAGGCTTTTTCTGGACTTGGTAATACGTCACAACTTAAAAGTTCTGTTTTAAAACAACTATGATATAACGTGTTTTTTAAAACTTGTTTTAAAACGATATGAAGATGGAGAGTAATTCTAATGCCTAATACTAGGACACTTTTATTATAGTGCTATTTAACTACAAACTACAATCATAGTTAATGGAGCGGATTGGTTTGGAAACTCTATTGAACAAAACCATTGTTTTGCGTTTGAGGTTGAACCTTGCCATCACGTGCACAATGGACCAAAGCAATTATGGCTGAAAATATTCATTTCCTTATTATTTTCATGTATTAACATTTTGAAAGTGAAAACTTTCATTGGATGACCACAGACCATTTAGAACTTTTTTTGATAAAATACTGTGAACAAACGAAGCAACTTTTCCTTCTCTGTGCACGGTCAACGTCATATAACAGTGGATAAAGTCGAACAAAAACTTGGAACAATAGGCTTCCCAACCATTCCGCTCCCATAACTATGCTACAATTTTTTGTCGCTTCCTTTTGTTCAATTACAATTTTAAATACGAAAGAAAATTTGCAAAGCATTCAGGTAGTGGTAGGCGAATGCCTCCATCATGCAAATGGCCTATCAAAGTATTTTCGGAAACCAACAGGATGAAAAAAGGGTGGACATTTTTGTCATTTGAATACTCCAGTTTCGAGTTCTCTGTTGCTCAGGGTTAGCCTCGATTTTGTGTAGAACATTCACGTGTTCCATTGAAGGTCGGTGTAATTTCAAAGYGTTTGTAGTGTTGAAGTTAAAGCATTCTTTACTTTACCGTTGGTATTTGTGAAAATTTAGACACTGATACGAGGCTAAGCCTGAGTAAATGAGTCTTTAAACAAGAAGCACAGCGGTGTTGCACGTATTCGAAATTGGTCTATTGTTTTCCATAACAAACTGACTCCAAAGCATGTCTGTCAACAGCTTAAACGATCAGTCGATGATACCAAACGAACCGCCAGCAAAAAGAAGCTGAAACAACGACTAAAGGTTTTTACATTAACAACTGCTACAGTTACTATAAAATACTGATCACAATGGATACCTCTCAACTATACTACAGCTATGCGATAACTGTTAATACTATAATACTAACACTAATACTAAAAATAACCTGTCTGTCACCACTACTACTACCGCCTTCTTTTTTTGACACAGACATCATCGACGGTATAGGGCTTTTAAATTGTGTCGTATTTCCGGGTCCAATCACACCAAAGATCGCTAAAATCGTGCCACAACCTATTCCCAGGATTTATGGCTCTACCTTCAACAATTAGATATATGAAAAGAGAATCCTGCTATGAAGAAAAAACACACAAAGTGTCTGTAGAAGTAATTATTCATTTGGACCCGGAAGGGGTTTTTCGTTCAAATTACGTCACACTTAACAGCTCTATAATCAGTTACGAAAACGGCCCCTTTTTCCGTACTATTTCCTGTGCTTCGCCTCATTTTCTAAGTCGACATTTCTTCTTTGCTCATCTTCATCATGATTAATCCTTGCAAACAACTTGATAAAGCCATCCATTTCTGCTACTTTTTTCTTACTTCATTTCCTATTTTAAGCCATTAGACTTTTTTAGCTTGCCGGGGCGTAATGTTTTTGCCCATTTCAGACCACGTGTCATTTCTGACACATATCTTTTCTTTATTTGACGGTTGTGCATGAAAAGACACATGAATATCGATACAACTCAAGCAAACAATCTCATTCCTAGGAGAAAATGACGTGGTCTGAGATGGGAAAATGTCGCGCCCAAACTAAAAGGGTTTATCTTTTTCAGTGTCCTCACTTATTTCAGTCTAAACCTTATTAACCATTCATTAAAGCAAGAGAAATGTTAAGGTTGATTACGAAATATATAAATAAGTCAATAATGTAATACCGGGTATTTTAAAACTACAAGTTAAAAGTCTGATGAACATCGGACTGTCAATGAGTAACAGGGTATTAAATAGTTTAAATAATTCAAAGAAATCTTATTGCAATGTTCGTGATTCTAACCTGCTTGATTACTGAGCTTTTGTTGATAAAACAAGACAACTCATCTGGTGTTTCTTTCAGATTCAGTCCTCTCCTCTTCTCTCCTCTCCTCTCCTCTCATCTCTGTTACTTTTTGCAACTGAGCTACACTTCTGAACCTTGATACATTTACCTTTTTTCAATTTCTTTTGCCTACTTCGATCTGTTTTGTTTTATACCCGAGCTTGATAAGAATCAGTTAGAATCCTATTGAACATTGCCGGGTAATATGCCAAACAAAATACAATAAATATTAACCAGGTTAAGGTGGTGATTAAACGAAATAGAAAAATGAATGCAAAATAAAAAAGTTTTAAATTAAAAAGATTAAAATCTTAACGGGAGAAAACTATTCGTCTCACACAGCCATTTTCCCTAGGGTTGTTGTGTATATGTAATAACTATATAGTAATTATTATAAATAAATAATAAATATAACATTTTGTATCTAAAGGAGGTAAAGCAATAGACCCCTTTCGAATTCCAAACTACCGCTGTGTTTCTTGATTACAGACTCATTTGCACAGGGTTAGCCTCGAGTTTGTGCCGAATATTCACGTGTTCCAGTCAAGGTCCGTTGAGTTTCAAAATGTTTGTATTGTTGAAGTTGTGCATTCTTTACTTTTCTGTTGGTATTTGTGAATATTTAAACACTGATAAGAGGCTAACCCTGTGCAAATGAGTCTGTAATCAAGGAACACAGCGATAATTTGGAATTCGAAACTGGTCTATTATTTATCTTTACCAGCGGCACTACATACAAAAGCGCGGGAAGTGTCAAAAGGGCGTTTGCATGATGGTGTCATTTGACTTCCACTACCAAGATGCTTCGGATTTTCTTTTTTATTTAAATTTATATTCCCTCATGAGAAGAGTAAGACAATTGGTGCTAATTAACTGAACAAAAGAAAGTGTGCAAGGGAGTCTGGTATTAGAGGTCAATGACGCCATCATGCAAGCGTCCTATTATTTTACGTTTGCGTATGTCCTTGTGCCATGTTCCCTGGAATTTCGGTGGATGCAGTTTTTGTTCGTTTGCTTGTTCGTTCGTTCGTTCGTTCGTTCGTTCGTTCTTTCGTTCGTTCTTTTGTTTGTTCGTTCGTTCGTTCTTTTGTTTGTTTGTTTGTTTGTTCTTTTGTTTGTTTGTTTGTTTGTTCGTTCGTTTGTTTGTTTGTACAATGATTGCTGTCTACGTTTTAGTGCTCATCAAAGAGTGACGGTCATGTATTTCTATTTTCAATAGAGGCTTTGCACCATCACGTGATGGCAGCCATCTGAGGAGGCACAAAAAAAGAGTCCTTTCCCCCTGGGGAAACTACATGACCAGATTCAATTGGTCCTGCTTCCAGTCATGGTCTCCATCACGTTATAGTGCAAAACCTGTATTTTCAGTATTTCACGGTTTCCATGACTGAGGCTGTTGGTGCTCATCAGACATACGTCAAGCTTGTTGCCTACGTGCTAATTTGCTTTTTTGTACGTACAGGACACAGGACGAAAACTGTTTAAACGTTCTGAACAAAGAGCCATAACTACACCCAGCCCACAAATAGCCAAGGTAAGAGGATTGGTTAAAAAATTATGTTAGAGTGATCGTATTTACCTGTGATTGATTAAACTACTAAAGTAGATGAGCCATGAAAAGAAAACGATGAAATTTGTTTCAACTTTAAGTATTATGCTTACTGTTTTGTCACGGTCAAGTAAAATCATTCAATAAAACCAATGGGTTAAGCTTCACGAATTTACAATGTCCTATGTGATTGGTTAGGTTTAGGGGCGGGGTTGGCGAAAGGTCATTGTTTTCTATTGTTCTACACATGTGTGCCCTCCAATAGGATCACATCTTGCAAATTCGTGAAGGACGACCCATACCAATACCGTTTGTATTCGACTCTATTACATCCCAAATTTTGACTAGTTGCTCCAACTGCCTAAACTCGTGCTTGCCACTATGGAAAACGTATGCGTGTGCTTGAGTTCCAGCACTTTATGTTAAAACAGTTATTGAACTCGACTTAACATAAACAAATACCAAAAAGGACTGCGAATTATCCCTGGTAACAGTGTAGAATGGGTTGTGTGGGACTGGACAGGGTCCAGAGGGAATGGTTCTTAACGTCATTTCGCAGTCTGAATTCTTCTAAAGTGTCATGATCTCAAATTACATTTTGCTTGTTTGTTTGTTTGTTTGTCTGTTTGTTTGTGATTTCCAGTGCATAAAATGCCATTTTCCCAGCCCTCTAAATATCATGTAGACCATGAATCGCAATCATTTACTTTCTAGCCTCTGCCGTGTACTTTGGGCGTAGCCGCGTGACTCAAAATCCCTTTACATGTAAATGACAATGAAACAACCGCCATGTCAGTTGGTCTAACGAGAGAAGATAATGAGGAATGCTTCGTTATCGTCAACCAACATGGCGGCTATGACGTAACATGCACCCCAAGAATAACTGTTTCCTCGCCATTGACAAGCATTGCTATTTTTCTCATCCTCACCCAGTAATCGCTTATTATTGATTTGTTTGTTTTTTCTGGCTGTATACACCTATTTCAAGAAACGTTGTAGTTCGGACATCTGAAATCTGAAATCTGAGACCGAGTAGCACGCTGCAAAATGTAATATATTGATGGTTTTCAACCATTCCCTAGAGAATTAAATAACAAAAGACACGGCGGCCATGTTGAAGGATATAACAAAAAAATTTATTGACAATTCTTTTGTTAAGTTCCTCCAACATGGCCACCGTGAAGACCATCAATTCACTGCCGAACAACGTAGTTTTCTTTTAGATTCGAATATGAAGCATGGCCTTTGATTTCGAAATGCGATTTTTCGTATTTTAGCCCAAAAAAAAACATACATGCACAAAAATTACGTTTAGTCCCTGACTCCCATTTCAGATCTCTGATCGACAATATCGTGCAAATAAGTGTGTTAATCATATAATTATCCATAAAATACCTATATTTATCCTTTTCGAAAAACTGATATTTTCACATGTGAAAATATCGTTTCCATGTGTATTTATTAGTTTATAAATAAAAACTTTTTATAATAATAAAAAGCTTTTTTAAGTTGATTTTATTGATAATTATATAATAAACAAAATATTCGTGATAGATCTTTTCAACACTCGAAGATAAATTTCGTATCTCCGCTCGCCCATGTAATATCCTCTATTAATCATCTAACCTGAATGTTTCCTTCTTCTAGTGGTTTGTAGCCAAGATCAAAGAAGCAAGATCATAAAGTAAAGCAAAAATCACTTACAAGCTTAGGATGATATGCTCCTTAATTGTGTAATTCTACGTTAAGTTTATAAAACTTCCTAGAAACAAAGATAAAAAATTGAAAATAACTATTTTAAGTATTAGTAGCACCTATAACGTTAATCTTACGTCCGTTTTTAATCAGCATTTAGAAAATAAGAGAAATTGAGCCAATATTGTGGGCTATAAAATAACTAAGAGTTTAACGAAGATTATAAAGCTTCTAAGAAATAAAGTGAAAATGATCAGAAGTCAAATCTAGAGAAATAATCGTAGCCTCTTGTGAAATTCGTACATTTTTGTAGAAGTTCTTATGTCGATTCGTTTTGGAGGATGTTRATCAAAGTGTTTCCTAATTGTATAAAAACACAAAAATTTCAAGGTCACGTGCGCATGGAATGTCATGGAAACGCTATGATTGACGTCAAGCAAAACCGTCGGTCTTCCTCACTATGGCAAATTATACGATACGCGTGAGAAGCTGTAGTCGTAAAATTTGTGGGAATTTATTTCCGTTTGGTAAAGGAAGTTTGGTTGGAACTTCACAGAACGTTTTTATAACTTTCTTATCAAATTCTTCTGGTCACTAACCTTACTTAAATAAGTTTTATGAAGCAGTCAACGGTCGATGTTCTCAAAGATCAACTCGTCTTTTCTTTCGTTAGTAAGATGCACCCAGTCACTTAAAGATGTCTTTCTGTTTAATCAGACCACGATCACGTGGCCAAAGAAATAAACTAGTGGCTGTCAATCAAATACGTGTCGGTAATAAATCTAAAGTAATAATACATTAATACATTTTGTAATAAGACTATCCATAAAGGTTACAGAACAAAAGGCTATTTTCAAATAAACTAGAATTTAATTTAGTAATTATCTTTAAATTCAAAAATACGATGCTTTCCAATAGCTCAATAAATCTATGCATATCGATCGATGACTACTTCTTAAAGACTCTTTTCTTCAAGTTATGGTCGTGTGTTGGTTATTTAGATAAAATAGTTTTTGTTGAGTGGAATCTTCCCMCACACGTATTTCAAAAAACGTCATTGCCGAAGGCAATAGACGAAAAGCGATAGGAGACCGCTCATTTCGAGATCCAAGAATAGCTGGAATAACTTGTGTTTCTGCCTCTTATTCTCTCTAAAAACATGGACCTTAGTGTTGAGAATGGTTCTTTGTTCTTAGTATTCAACGAAACCGTTTCCATGTCGGAATGACCTATCGCCTCAAGGGCGGATCCAGGGGGGGG